TTTTTTTTTTTTTTTTTTTTTTTTTTTTTTTTTTTTAAGATCGTAACGAGAATTGAACACAGGTTCTCATATTTCTAACTACCCCAAACCCTTTCTTAAAACAAAGAAAACATAAATCAATCTATTATGTATCTATACATATTATAAAGGGAATATATTTTAGTAATTATTTTTTTATTTTTAATAAATAATTATACTCTTTAAATATAAAAATAATAATAATAAAATTTCTTATATTTTTTTAAATAATTATTTATAATTTCTAATATTTATTTGAATATAATTATTTAAAATACGAAATATCTCAATCTCTCTCGTATAAATATAAAATGAATATAAAAAAAATTATTTTTTAGTAATTATTTTAATCTTCATAATTGATATAGTATTATATTTTTTATTATTAATAAAAGTTAAAATAATAATTTTTTTTTATCAAATTTAAGACTTTAATTTGAGATCTTGAAATCTGAAAAATAATTATAATAACCGTTGTAGACCAACAAATGTTCATTACTTAATTGATTGTCTTTATTATTTAAGAGAGATATAAAGTGTCTAAACTTTACTAATAATAATTAAGGATTAAAATATTTTTTACTCTCTATAATTTTTTATTTTTTATTGTTCGAAACAATTCTAATTTGGATCTATGACATTATCCACTCGTGTCAAACTTTTTAGTTTCTCTCTATAATTTTTTTTACTTTTATTTTTTTCTATAATTTAAAATAGATATTTTTATTTATTATACTTATTTTTTAAAAAAATTAATTGTTATAATTTAAGATAGACAATTTTAGTTTTTATAATTGTAATTTTTAATTTTTTTAGTTTAACAAAGGTATATAACATTATTTTCTGATGTATAATTTATTTTGTTAGATTACACTAAATTAGGTCTCCTTTGCACTCTCACTTCTAACACTGATTATTGAAATATTTTTTTATTCTTATAAAATTAAAGACCTCTAATTATGTCAACACAAAAGAAATGACTGAGACTAAAAAGTATTTAAAAAAATGTGAGTATAGGATCTAAATAAATAAATAAATAAATATATATATATATATATATATATATATATATATATTCCACGTCAAGGGTGCGACTTTAAATAAATAGAAGAACTAAAAATGTATATTTTAAACTATAAAAATTAAAAGATAAAATAAGTAAAATCATAAATACTAAAAAAATATTATAACCATAATTAAGTAAAAATTTTATTTTTTATTTTAACAAAAAAAATTTTTTTTGCAATTCATAATTTTATTTAAATAGAATATGATTAATAATTAAAAAAATTCACAAAAATAATTATGTTCAAATTAGAAATTTCAATGATCATAATTTTTTTACTAAAGATAATTATGTTTGAATTACGAATTTTAAAGATAGGAGACAATTATGTTTGAATGGAATAAAGTAAAAAATATTTTTCAAACATATGGTAATTTTTTACATTACTAAACATTAAAGAAAAAAAATATTTTGTGTTTCTTAATATTTATCCTAAACCCTAAAAAAAATATATATATATATATATATATATAAATAGTAATGGAGTGAGTGATTATTAAAGTAAAATGGTAGCTATTAAAAAAAATCTTCATTTTAAATTTTCCTTTTCTTAATAACAGTAGGATATAATGTTCTAATAAATATAAAGAAAAAAGATAATTGTTAAAGAAGACATTTCTTTATATACTAAAAATATATATCTTAAACTAGAATTTAAAATGATTAATAAAGATAAATATAATAATTAAAATATTTATTTTAAATTATAAAAATTAAAAAGTAAAGTAAGTTTTACTATAAAAACTAAAAATATGTTTCTACCATAATTAAGTAAAAATTTTATTTTTCTTTTTTTCACAAATATTTTTTACGACAGATAATCTTGTTTGAATAGAAAATGATTGATAATAAAAAAATTCACAAAAATAATTATGTTTAAGTTAGAAATTTCAAAATGATATTTTTTTTATTAAAAATAATCATGTTTGAATTAACAAATTTTACAATCAAATTTTTGTCATAAGAGATAATCAACCCTTTTATATTAAATATGAATTTCTATCTTGTGTCAGAGTGTTGTTAAGGAGTTTGTAAGGATTTTTTTTTTAACTTTTTATCTATTTTTATTTTTATCTATTAAAATTATTTATAAATTAAATAATAAATTTTTAAAATAAAATATCAAAAAATAAAGACAAAATTTTGTTACAATACAAATTATTTATCATAAATCTAAATGTCAGCATTCTTCTTCTTCCTCCGCTCATACACAATCCATGGTTTTGGGCCCCTTTTTTCTTCATGGGCCAGTGGTTCTAGTGAGCCATGATGATCTTGGGCCTTATCATTACTCCCTCCTATAAAATTAGTCTTGTCCTCAAGATTGAGCTCAAGAAACTGACTCCTCAAGGTCAATTCATCTTCCCATGACGCCTCCTCTACTGCCTTTCCCCTCCACTTCACCAGCCATTGGTTAGTTCGTTCTCTCCCTTTCAACAAGCTACGTGAAGCCAATACTGTTTCAGGCTCCAATAATTCAGCTCTCTCATCTTCCAGACCAGAAGGAATAGTGGTTTCTGCCTTGTAATCTCCAATTGCCTTTTTTAATAGTGACACATGAAACACAGGGTGAATCCTTGACTCCGGAGGTAATTTTAAACGATAAGCTACTGCCCCAATCCTCTCCAATACCTCAAAAGGTCCATAATAACGAGCACTAAGCTTGGGACTTTTTCGGGCTGCTAGTGAATGTTGTCTATGCTGTTTGAGCTTCAAAAACACCATGTCACCTTCCTCAAAACTCCTATCTTGTCTATGCTTATCGGCCTGTGTCTTCATTCGATCTTGGGCCCTGATTTATTCTTATTAAGATTATTTAAATGATATTATGTATAATTTTTATTCGACTTAATATTTTATAAGCAAGTTTTAGGTTTTGTAGATTAACCCTTCATTAATTTATTATATTTTAGAAAATAGTCTCACATTATTTACATATATTTGACCTTTCAGTGTCATTCTCTCTCACAAAAATATTTATTTCTCTTGTTCTCTCTAATTTCAACGATTTTCAGCTGAAGATTTCAACTCAGATATAGATTTCGTTCTTTATTTTGCTGTGAATTGTGAAGATGATTCAGCTTTTGTTTACATTGATATTTTCGGAAGCGGTGACGATAGTGTTGCTTCTGTTCAAGACCTAGTTGAGGAAGCTTGTCATAATGGGTTGGATTGGTTGAAGCGAGGTTATGGACCCTTGATGGTCAAGTCCGTTGCGGGGACCCTACTTCTGGTGTTGTTTTTTAGTATCTACAGCATGCTCAAGATTCACAAGCGTGAAATCAAAGATGGTGCTACTGTTAATCCCACCGATCAGGTTCTCATGGCCAACCACCTCCTCCAAGCTAGCTACACTCACGGGTATTTTTCTTACCTTTCTTTTTACGTTTGTTGATTTCTTTTATGAATTCCTGATCTGATTCGTGTGTATGTGGAAAAGGTAATCAAATCAATTCATTCTCTGTATTAGGTTTCTAGTTTTTAATTTGTTGGGTCCTTCGGGGATGTCTATGTTACTATATGCTACTGATTGATTTATGGAAAAAAAAATCTTATAGTCCCACTTGGGAGACGGTAATTTTATTTTATTTCAAGGGAGGGAAACAAAGAACGAAAATAAATAAAGAATGAAATCTGAATTTGAGTTGAAATCCTATACTAAAAATCGTCGAAGTTAAAGAAAATAAAAAAAAAATATTTTTGTGAGAGAGAATAGAATCAAAATGTCAAAGACATATAAATAATACAGGACTATTCTTCAAAATATAATAAATTCACTAGAGATTAATTTGTAAAAATTGAAACTTATAAAATAAACAGTATGATAAAAATTACACATGACATCGATACCTTTTAAATATAACTTGCATTAAAGGATTTGTCTAATTATAAAAGGTAAACACGTATAAAACCACAATAATTTGAAGAAGAGAGGGTGAAAAGATGAAAAAGAAGGCCTGTGGTAAATTAATCATGGACGGCGGCAAGGCCTTGGAGAAGTTGACGAGTGATGAGGAGGTTGATAATACTGAGCAATAGTGTAAACGGTCGGAACAATAGTAAGCACAAAAAGAAAAACAGCAGCAACAACTAACAAGCGACACAAGAGCCCAAGGGTTCCTAAAGTAAGTATGAATAAGATTGGCGCGCCACATGTTCCAATAGTTACTCAAACTCATCCAAGATCCCTTCTCCATCCACCGCTGTCGATCATCGTGTCCATGAAGAACAAGCATGTGGCGTACGTTTGATATATATGGCATGGCACTGCATAGAGTTTCCCCCGTGATGATAAGGACTAAACCAAACGACACCGCTTGGGGCTTGTATGCCTTTATGTTCAACGCAGTGACATGTGGGGGTATCTTGTATATGAAATGCCTCTTCCATAATTAATTGTTGCTTCTCATTACTCTTGAGCTCCTCATTGATTTGGATCACCCACCTTGTTTCTTGTTCCATGTATGCCTATTAGCTTTGATGCCTCTAGGGATGTTCTCTCTTGAATCCTCACATATATATATATATATATATATATATACAAATAGTATGTGTATGGTCGTACTCCTCCAATGTTAGTGCGAGGGACTCAAGGTGAAATCAAAGTGGAATCTGTGCAGAGGGAAATCAATGAACGTGATGAGGCTCTTAGATAGTTAAAAAAGCACTTGATCAGGGCCCAAGATCGAATGAAGACACAGGCCGATAAGCATAGACAAGATAGGAGTTTTGAGGAAGGTGACATGGTGTTTTTGAAGCTCAAACAGCATAGACAACATTCACTAGCAGCCCGAAAAAGTCCCAAGCTTAGTGCTCGTTATTATGGACCTTTTGAGGTATTGGAGAGGATTGGGGCAGTAGCTTATCGTTTAAAATTACCTCCGGAGTCAAGGATTCACCCTGTGTTTCATGTGTCACTATTAAAAAAGGCAATTGGAGATTACAAGGCAGAAACCACTATTCCTTCTGGTCTGGAAGATGAGAGAGCTGAATTATTGGAGCCTGAAACAGTATTGGCTTCACGTAGCTTGTTGAAAGGGAGAGAACGAACTAACCAATGGCTGGTGAAGTGGAGGGGAAAGGCAGTAGAGGAGGCGTCATGGGAAGATGAATTGACCTTGAGGAGTCAGTTTCTTGAGCTCAATCTTGAGGACAAGACTAATTTTATAGGAGGGAGTAATGATAAGGCCCAAGATCATCATGGCTCACTAGAACCACTGGCCCATGAAGAAAAAAGGGGCCCAAAACCATGGATTGTGTATGAGCGGAGGAAGAAGAAGAATGCTGACAAGGCATGAAGGTTATTCGGGGTTGTTAGAGGAAAGAGGGAGAATATTGTGATTTATAGAGAATCACACTTGATGGGCAGGGATTCGGTTATTTTGTTTTACTATTGTGGATAGAGAACCTTGTTGGTTGTGCTATTAGGAGCTTGGCTCTTGGTAGAGGAGATTTCCCTCTTCTGAGTTTTCCTTTCTTACGAATTCCTTAAATACAATATCCACCATTATATCAAATACCATTTTCTTATTCATTTCTGGTTTGTTGGTTATTTTGTTTGGTATCTATTAGAGTGACACACACAAAAGTCACGTTCACATACCCATTGTTAACCTAGGTTTGTGGATCTAAACATTAATTTAAAAAGTAGAAAGAAAGAAAAGTTGAGCTAACCCCATACTACGTATACATTGATCGAGTCTCTCATTTTGTGCAGAACAGGCTCTGGAAATAGTGATATTGCGTACAAAATAAGACTAGAGAATATATAAAAAACAAACATAATAATTATAAGACAAGAAAATTCCTTTAGTGCAAGTTTTATTCAGAGGATATTAATATTTATTCTTATTAAGATTATTTAAATGATATTATGTATAATTTTTATTCGACTTAATATTTTATAAGCAAGTTTTAGGTTTTGTAGATTAACCCTTCATTAATTTATTATATTTTAGAAAATAGTCTCACATTATTTACATATATTTGACCTTTCAGTGTCATTCTCTCTCACAAAAATATTTATTTCTCTTGTTCTCTCTAATTTCAACGATTTTCAGCTGAAGATTTCAACTCAGATATAGATTTCGTTCTTTATTTTGCTGTGAATTGTGAAGATGATTCAGCTTTTGTTTACATTGATATTTTCGGAAGCGGTGACGATAGTGTTGCTTCTGTTCAAGACCTAGTTGAGGAAGCTTGTCATAATGGGTTGGATTGGTTGAAGCGAGGTTATACTGACTCCTCAAGGTCAATTCATCTTCCCATGACGCCTCCTCTACTGCCTTTCCCCTCCACTTCACCAGCCATTGGTTAGTTCGTTCTCTCCCTTTCAACAAGCTACGTGAAGCCAATACTGTTTCAGGCTCCAATAATTCAGCTCTCTCATCTTCCAGACCAGAAGGAATAGTGGTTTCTGCCTTGTAATCTCCAATTGCCTTTTTTAATAGTGACACATGAAACACAGGGTGAATCCTTGACTCCGGAGGTAATTTTAAACGATAAGCTACTGCCCCAATCCTCTCCAATACCTCAAAAGGTCCATAATAACGAGCACTAAGCTTGGGACTTTTTCGGGCTGCTAGTGAATGTTGTCTATGCTGTTTGAGCTTCAAAAACACCATGTCACCTTCCTCAAAACTCCTATCTTGTCTATGCTTATCGGCCTGTGTCTTCATTCGATCTTGGGCCCTGATCAAGTGCTTTTTTAACTATCTAAGAGCCTCATCACGTTCATTGATTTCCCTCTGCACAGATTCCACTTTGATTTCACCTTGAGTCCCTCGCACTAACATTGGAGGAGTACGACCATACACAACTTCAAATGGAGTTATTCCCGTAGACACATGATAAGTTGTATTAAACCAATATTCGGCCCAGGGAAGCCATAGAGCCCATCCCTTGGGATGATCAGTAACTTGGGCCTTATCATTACTCCCTCCTATAAAATTAGTCTTGTCCTCAAGACTGAGCTCAGGAAACTGACTCCTCAAGGTCAATTCATCTTCCCATGACGCCTCCTCTACTGCCTTTCCCCTCCACTTCACCAGCCATTGGTTAGTTCGTTCTCTCCCTTTCAACAAGCTACGTGAAGCCAATACTGTTTCAGAAATATTACAAAAACGGTCGCAATGAGAATTGAATATAAGTCTCCATGATTCTAACTACTCCAATCCCTCCTCACCCAATCACTAAGCTAATCCTAGTGGTCTAAATATAATATTTATTTATATACATAATTGATTATAAATTTTAATTATATATAATAAACATGTGTATATTGTATAGGTTAAAATACTAGTTATGTTTGATTGAAATATTGAAAATAATTATTTTTTAAACATACGATAATTTTTTATATTATTACACACTTGGTAGAAAAAAAAGACACTTTGCACCTCTTAATATTTGTTAAAAAAAATAAAATAAAAGATAATAGTGAGTAATTATTATAGTAAAATAGTAGTTATTAAAAAAAACCTTCTTTTTTTTCTTCTTAACAATAGAAGGGTATAATGGTTCAACAAATGTGAAGATCAAAGGTAATTACAAAAGAAAGTATACTAAAAACACTTCATTTCTATGTGCAACAGTCACATATTTTTTTTCTTCTATTTTATCTTCTATAAATATATTTTATTAGAAAGTTATTGTATAATTGAATGAATAAAAATGTAAAAAAAAAAAAAGTATAAACAAAAACGGTTATTAAAAAGTTTATTCTCTTTTGTTAAATTAATAATTATAAATTAGTATAAATTAATGTAATAACTTGTATTCATTTTTTTATTTTAAAAAATTCAAAATAAAATCCAATAACCTTATTATATAAGAAATTCCTACAAAAATTATAGGGAAAAAATGTATTGTGATGCATTCTAATTAAGTTATCAAATAAATATCATATTAACCATGATTTAATTGGTTTTTGTATTTGGTCCTCTAGTAACAAAATTTCAAAGTTCTAGTATTGAGTTTTGATAAATAAATAAAAAAATTAAAAATAATTTTAATATAGTCAAAATTTTATGAGACTAGTCTTTGACGATAAAATTAAAGGATAGTTTTATCAATATGATGGTAAAAAATTATATTAATATACTTTATTAAATATTGTTTTAGACAATGTATTGGGTTTTTATGTTGGATGTACATTAAAAATATTAATTAAATTAAAATTTAAATACAATACACACAAATAATGACAAAAATAAAAAAGAATAAAAAAAAATTATGAAATGAATGTATAGTGAATAAGGAAATTGTAAATAGTACAAATTTCTGGTAAAGATTAGACACAACTTTCCGAAGAGCTCTCAAAGACCAAAGTCAATAAGTCATTATATAATTATGAATAAAAAATCATTAATTAATTAATTAATACAATTGAACAATTTAATCTTGACAATAGAACATATTAATTACAATGATGGAGATTTTTCAACAATTCATAAAACAATAAAATGATATTAATTCCCAAATACTTTCTCATTTGAAAAGCACATTGAATAAATACTAAAAAATACACATTAAGTATTAAAAATAAAATAAATTTATTATAATGCCGAAGACTTTCCAAAATTCCATTGAATAAGATTAGAAAAAAAGCCTCTTATTTGGGAAAAAAAAACTACTATTGACCTTATTTCGTTGAATTCTTTTATAAAAGTCTCGCTTTTGAAAATTATATTAAATAATTAAATATTAAAGATAAAATACATAATTGCAGTACTAAAGACTTTTTCAATCAATAAAAAAAAAAAGACTTTTCAATATTTTATTGAATAATAAATACTAGATTGTGAAAATGCCTCATGAAAAAATACTATTAGCTTATCGCTATTATATTATATTATATATATATATATATATTAAGAAATTATAATGAAAAAAATACATTGAATGTAAATTAATAAAAAGTCTATCAATAAAAAATGCATTAAATAATTAAATATTATAAAAATATATTAATTATATTTTTGAATACTTTCAATGTTTCATTAAAATAATTGATACCCTTCAACTTATTAGTAAAATATATAAATTAGTTAGGATAAGACCTTTATGAATTATAATTCATTTTCTCAAAATATTTAAAGTAACTTAATACTCAAAATTTAATTTGATATCACTAATTAAATTAAAGTTTAAAAATATATTAGAGTATCTTCAATGTTAGGTTTTTATCCAATTTCTAAGTTTAAGCTCTCATTGCTTATAATAAACATGCATTGGAGCAAGCTGACATGGCAGGTCAAATTGCTAAAATTTAAGCACCGTTGTTTATATAAGAGACGGTTGCTTAAGAATAAAAAAAATAATTTAATATTTCCTTCCTTCACTGATGCCAATAATTATAATAATTAAAATTTTTAAAATTTATTAAAAATGAAGTATGAGTGATTAAAAAGTGGAGGTGCTTATAAGCAATTTTCATTGGAGTAAAAATTATAAAAATATAATATAAGTTGCTTATGAGTGACATGACAATGTGAGATCCATTTAAAGTGGATGAGAGTTGTTTATAAATAACTCTCATTGTAGATGCTCTGTATGAAAATTATTTTTTTTTTAAATTTAGCCTTTAATGATTTAAAAAAACATTAAAAGTTTTTTCTCAAAACATTAAATGCTTTTAATAATTCTATTAAATGATATTAATTACCTTAAAAATTAATTTTTTTAATGTATTTAATGAATATCCTAAAAAATAAATTTTAAAATACCTTATATGCTTACAACATAATAAATATATTTGAATAAAACTATGTTAAGAAATAAATCATTTAGAGAAACATTGTTTGTACATTTTTTACAAGATTGACAAAAAATAACTCTCAAAATTAGGATTAACAATGGAAAAAGTACAATACTACTCATTCTTATACCCACGTTTGAAAGAAAAAAAATATGTACTTGTATTCATCTCTATATATGTGTGGATAACAACTTTACTCTACATCCTTGTATTTGTTAAGTACCTATATACTTTTACTTGCATCCACTATTTGCACTTAAATTATGTGTAAAATTAATAAATCAATGAAAAATATTAATCAAGAAAGTTGTAACAACTAAGTTGAAATTTCACTTTTAAATTACAAAAACATGAAATTAAAATAATTCAAATATAAGTCATAACTCATACTAAGTTTTAATCATTTAACATTGTCACTAGTAAGAGTATATGTCAGACCAAATATTGGCAACCCTGACTTTGGCCTACAACATATCTACTCTCAAAAAATAAATTATGAGTTTAACTTAATCTCACAAAATCGACTTGTGAAGTAAGTGTTGTGACCCCTATATACCCCCAAGAAACATTTCTTATGATATATAGTAAATTATGACAATTAAATATAATTATACCTTGAGATATTTGAATAAAGAGTTCACATGTGTTTAATAATGTATAAAACTTTAATTATAAAAGGAGTAAAGTTAAAAAAATCATAATGAGCCTTTGCAAAGTTCTTTACAACTAATATATGCATATGGTACATGCACACAAATGAGACAACTTAAGAGTACTTGGAAATAAAGATTACCGCACAATGGGTAAACAACACATTCACTCTCACTAAGATGAAGATTCAACTAGAGCCAGTCCCACTATTGAAACCCTTAGGACCAATATAGAAAACTATAGAGACCCTCATGATTGAATTCAATGACCAATACCTCCAAATGAAATATATATGGACTCGCAAACAACATACAAGAGCACAACACACTGCTAGGTAGTGTTTAGACTTTACCCTGCTAAACAAATGCGTATATTTCACAAATAACCAAGCATAACTTGAAATTTACCCGACTAAGCAACTACTTAGACTTAGCTCATAGATCACATTAACTTCATAGGCGCAAATAGCCCAAAGCACAAAAACATAAGAGACATCATCTTATTCATATATAACTTGTAGCTTTTTCAATTGTCACTCGTATTTTACTCCTTAAGCTCTCATAGTTTCTTTTATAGTTTGTTTATTGAACCTAAACAATTTTTCACTTCATTTCCAATATTAGAATGCCTTATAATAAAAAGATGACACTTAGATGTTCATCCATTGAACTCTTACTCGATATTTATACTCTAATCTTATATAACATTTCTATGAATTACATGAGACGTAAATATTATATCTATAGTTATATTTATGGTTAAAAAAAATTGATCTCTATGTCATTGGAAAGCAAAAAAAAATATTTACAACTCTAAGTTAACCTCAAATTTTGGTTTTATTACCTATTGCACCTAAAGTTACAAAAATTGTGACTTTTAAGCTTAATTTTGACATGTTGACATTCATTCACTAATTTGATCATATATTTAGTTTTTGACATCTTTTTTAAGTGATTCCAATGTCATTGGTTAGATAGCATATAGGGCTACAATTCTTATGAAGACTAGTAAACTTGATTTAGCTTTTTTAAAGGAGCATGATCGTTCTTAGGTTATGCTTAACCTAACATGGGCATGCTTGTCATCAAGTGTGACTATGCTATCAAAAATAGAGTCCCAAAACTTACAAACTCAGTCTCTAAGGCATAAATTAACTCCAAGTTCTCAATGTTTTTGCATCCATTTGTTACTTTTAATCAATTTTTATTATATCTATAGCACTGTAATGCATAATTGAACACATAATTCAAGCACAATAAACAATTGCACAAAAAAATCCCAATTTCAGCATATAAAAAAACCCTAAACTCATATAACCATGGTGGAAAGCTCAATTAATACAATTAAATCAGAAATTCAATCAATAACACACAACACATGTTAATCAACGCTTGTTTTGGGGTGTTCACAGTCGCTCTAGCCATACAACGAAAATCTAAAAGAGGTTTAGGGATTGTTTTACTAGTCATATTCAATATAAGTGCTCACATGTGAGATAATC